GCTGTGAGGGCGGTGAGGGCCGTGAGGGCGGTGAGGGCCGTGAGTGCCGTGAGGGCGGTGAGGGCCGTGAGGGCCATGAGGGCCATGGGGCCATGAGGGCCATGAGTGCGTGAGGGGCGTGAGGGCGGTGAGTGGCGTGAGGGCCATGAGTGCGTGAGTGGTGTGAGGGCAGTGAGTGCGTGAGGGGTGTGAGGGCCATGAGTGGCGTGAGGGCAGTGAGTGGCATGTGAGGCGTGAGGGCCGTGAGGGCGGTGAGTGCATGAGGTGGTGTGAGGGCCGTGAGGGCGGTGAGTGCGTGAGGCCCCCTTCAGACCGAGCATCTTGCTCAGCAATTTTGGTGTTAATGGCGGGTTGTTCTCTAGCTTTCCCTAGATCGACACGAATTGCTGAGATCGGGTCCGGCTCTAAATAAGCAAGCAACTCGGAGCAATTCGAATACGTTTGAAGCGGCTTCATCTAATCAGGGACGCAAAATTTTCACGTGATACCTCGTGCCGGTGATGATGACACCGAAAGACTTGGTTCTCGTTTGAAATCGATCGTTTTTTTTTGGAAATAAACTGTTTCAGAAAGGTGCATTAGTATTCTTAACGGGATTTAAATGCGTAAAAACACGTTTATAACGCGTAATTGTGTCTAAATAGTGCAAGAAAAATAAAATTTCATGACGACGATGGCAAATTGCAGCAATTGGCTGCTGCGTGTGATCGCGGGCGGCGCGTGTTGCTGGTGTTGCGACGTAAACTTTCTGGCCGAAATTGCCCCATCTGAAGCTGGCCTGAGTGGCGTGAGGGCCATGAGTGCGTGACTGGCGTGAGGGCGGTGAGTGACGTGAGGGCGGTGAGTGGCGTGAGGGCCGTGAGGGCGGTGAGGGCCGTGAGGGCCATGAGTGAGTGAGGGGCGTGAGGGTCGTGAGGGCGGTGAGTGGCGTGAGGGCCGTGAGGGCGGTGAGTGGCGTGAGGGCCATGAGTGAGTGAGGGGCGTGAGGGCCGTGAGGGCGGTGAGGGGCGTGAGGGGCGTGAGGGCCGTGAGGGCGGTGAGTGCATGAGGGCCGTGAGGTTCAGTGAGGGTGAGTGAAGGGCTGAAGGTGAGTGTGACTGTGAGGGTGAGGGTGAGTGAGGGGATGAACGTGAGTGTAGCTGTGAGGGTGAGTGAGGGGCTTAGGTGAGTGTGGCTGTGAGGGTGAGTGAGGGCGACCTAAAATGCTGACCTCTGCCACGGCCACTCGATTAGGACTCTGCGCGTCTCCCGCCTCGTTAGCTAAAAAGAAGCGTCTCGGCGCGAACAATCTTGGCTATGCGGAATCACTGAAATTCTAATCGACTGTCTGTTATGTTTTTCTTTTTCTTTTTTCAAGGGCCTACACATTGTGACGTTAAATGTGCAGGGTTTTCGGAATCCGAACAAGCAACGGGAGGTGATACACTTTGCCCAATCTAATCACTGCGATCTGCACTTTTTGCAAGACACTAATTTTTTTTCTGCCCGGGATGTGGCAGAATTTGAGGCCCGTTTTTCGATTCCTTGTTATTTTCCTCTCGCACCTCCTTGCGCGCGTGGTGTTGGCGTTTTAATAGACAGTTTTAGTATAGCGTTGCTGGCTCTTACGTACGCAATACGCAATAGTATAGCGTACGCTAAATATGACCCCCTCGGACCGAATTTAGTTGTGCGTTACGTTTTCGAGTGAACACCGCGCATGATCTAGGTTAAATTTGCTAGAGCCGTAGAATTCCGCGTGCTTATAGCGCAACCATGCTCCTGGAAAGAAATATTGAATACGAAAACGTATCTAATCATTTTATTTCAAATTAAACCAAGCCACAGCTGCCTGGTCAAGTGCGCTTTTCTGCGGGGTACAGAGGCTACGAGTACGAGTGCGTAGCCAAATTCGATCACGGAGCCTCCGTCAGTCGTCCCGTGAAAACGGCACTTTTTATCAATGCTATCGCGGAATGAAATTCATGACTTACTGATGTCCAGTGCATAGCGAGAACTTCGGCGATTTCTTTTAGAGTCGTTCGTCCGTCGGCGATGAACTGTACGAATAGGCTTAGTGTTGAGCAGATCGCAGCGTTGACGCACATTCCGAGCGGCGAACATTTTCACTGTGCACTTCTTCAGCTGCACGGCGATCTGATTCGACCGCAATAGGTCCCAGACAAAATTGCCGAGCTGAACACCGCGCAATTTCACGTAACACAAACTTCGAAAACACCACGTCGCCTTAGCTGCGCCACACGGTGTGCCGCCTGCTCTCCCTCCGCACTGTTCTAGGGGTGTTAGATGACATGGATCACCCGGGGCACGGTCCCCGGCTCTTTACTTTCTACGGCCCTCGCGCCGAGTGCTTGCTCCTCGCGCGTTGGGCAACCTTTACCCGAGCGCAGAAGCAACGCCGCCGTTTTACCAAGCAGTGGTGGCGTGTCATGAAGAGTTGAGGCAGGCGTTACCAGACCTTGAAGTGCGCGAAGTGCCACCGGCTCGCGTCGTCGAAGAGCTCTGCGTGACCCGGATCACTCTTGAGCAGAGGGATCGGGCGAACGCCTTACCGTGGACCTGGTTGGTTTCTCGCCGCCTTCCCGGACCTGTGCAGGATTTTGAGTGGCGTCGGGGCTGGGGTGTCCTTCCAACAAGACAACGACTCCACCGCTGGGGCATTGTTCCCGACCCTAAGCGCCCCAACTATGGACAGGTAGAAACAAACACAGATGTTTTCTTTGATAGTCCCGTTGCGCGCTCATTTTGGCGCCTGGTGCACCAGGGCTTCCGGGGTATCGGCATCTGGAACTTTCTGTCAGGCGGTAGGTGCCCCCGCGGGGGATTCGCCCTGCTCCTGTTGGCAGTCGGCCAACTGCTTCTCTGGCAGAATCATAGTGCGGCGGTTGGCCAGCGACGACGATCTCGTGCAATGTGGCTCGTCCTCTCTTGACTGCGGGGTACCCTGCTCCGCCACCTAGACTCCGAGCTCTTTTGGTAGGGCGACGAAGAATTCCTCAGGCGGTGTTCTTGCCGCTACATCCGGCTGGTCGGTGGTCGCATTCACTTGCTTTTCGCGCGTCTCTCGCAGGTGTGAGAGAGGATGGGGTGAAGGGGGAGGGGGATTGGACGTTAGCCAGCGGAACGCTACACCTGGCTGACACTGACATTTATTAGCTAAAGAAAAGAACCCTCCTCGTGTGTGCTCATGAGATGTAAAGAGTGGCCATGTTTGGTTCGCTCAGTTATGTTTATTCGTTACCTATGCCCCTGGATCTTTGTAGCGTACATGTTCCTATTGTATACCGGTGTGATTTACGTCTTGCAGTTTACAGTGTCAATAAATTTTTCTTCACTCCTGTAACCTCTTCCGCTGTATCTGTTTCGGCGCCAAGATGGCCAATTAAAGCCAAACAAGACGTCACGTGCAGTTCCTCGAATGGCCGCTGCGGGTGAAATGGCGGCGTTATGTTCGCCATTAGCTCGGTTCTCGAGGATAGATCGGGGACACTTTTTCAGAGCAGTCTCTATGGCAGTTTCCCAACTGAGTGGTTTAGTAACATTGGTAAACACTAAAATGCCAATAAACATCAACACTAGTCACTAATAGCCATTTGTAGCCATTTCAATCAAATTTATCTAAAATTTGACACATAATCAGTAATAGCCGCTTGAAGCCATACTCATTTTAAGCACTGAAATAGCACATAATTGTTTAATGATCTCATCAATGTCCATCAGCAGCCATTTCAATTCAACCTGGTCAAAAATAAATACAAATAGCCAACACTATCCACTTGAAAACATTCCATTTAGTAAATATAAAAATAGCTCAAGCAATAGTTATCTACTAATAGCGGTTTGTAGCCATTTGCAGCCAATCTGTTCGAAAATATGTGCTTATAGCCAATAATAGCCACTTCAAGTCAATCTCATTCATAAACACTCAGACAGCAGATAATTGCTACTGGCTAACAGCCATTAGTAGCCATTGAGTCAATATGGTCAGAAATATATTCTAATAGCCAACAATAGCCGCCTGAAGTCATTCCAGTTTATAGACGCTTTGCAGCAGCTGTGCATGGACGCCGCCATAACTGACCTTCAGTTTTTGTTTCCTCTTATTTCGTTTATTTCACTTCATCATTACCATAGCAGGCCAGGTTATTGCCACATTAGATTCAACTGTGTCATTTCCTAAAGCATCGGCCTTTGTAGAGGATCGTCAACTACCGTTTCAGTTGCTCGGCATATCGGTAAGACAAGAGAAGGTCAGCAATGGCGGCTGTAATTTGGCGCGTGTGTAAAGCGTCTATAAACAAAAATAGCTCAGTTTTCATTAATCATTATTAATATTTGTAGCCATATCAAATATATATAAAAGTAGAGGCTGATAGCCAATATTAGCCAGTTGAAACCGTACGCATTCACCGAGGCCGAAATCGATACTTGTGAATTATCTCATCAATACCCACTGGCAGCCATTTAAGGTCAATCTGGTCAAACAAGATGATAATAGCCAACAAAAGCTACTTCAAGCCGTTCATCAGAGTAAGCAAACAAAAAGTCAGATAATTATCAATAGTAATAATTTCTAGTCACTTGGAGTCATTTCAAGTCGGTCTCATAAAAATTGATGCATATTGTCAATTGTGGTCACTTGGAGCCAAGGGCGTCTAATAACACATGTTTCAGTAGTAATAAAACCAATAAATCAACAAGCTCAGTAAAGGTCAATAATAATTTAGATTGTACGAAATCGCTATACAAATCCTGACTGCTCTGCATTTTGACATCAAAATATCAAGAGGTCCAATATCAAGAGCTTTTGCTCCCTATGCTCCATAAAAAAAAGGAAATATTTCATAGACTATCAATTTCTCTAGTGAGTCAGACCCACTTGATTCATTTCCGGGAAAAGTGGCGAGTTGTCCACTCCATACCGCCAGGATCGCTTTCTACTTCCGTCTCCCATTTTACCTCGGAGTTTCCTGTATTATTCTCAACAGTATTTGCCGGATGATTCGTTTGTATGACTACTTTGGGCCTTGACCCGATGTGATAACAATAATTAGAATGACACCACCCCGCCGACGTGCTCGAATTTTTAATAGAACAAGAGAGTATGTACACTGTTGTTCCCGTTGCTCAATTTACTCAGAAATAAACAAAGTTCAACATGTCTCTAAAAATCAGTCAGTTATTTGACAGTTCTTGCTTTCTTGACGATTTCTGTTACAACACCTATACTTGAATTTTAATGGTGATATTTGTTTTAAGACGACAATCCCGAACTCGTAGTTTTATCTTCGGCAGTTGCTCCTGCTAATTGAGAGTTCGCGCAGTCGAGATGCATCCTTCAACATAGAGCTCTTGCTTGCAGTCTAGTAGCGAAATTGGTGTATATTAAAAAAAGCTGGGAAGCAAAATATAAAGCGAAACAAAGGGCAAATGAGCACAGATATGTAAATATTATGGGAATACGTTAAAAGAGCGGAGTGACTTTTCGATCGAAAATGAATCGTCGAGATGAGATGACGATGGCGCATGCCATTTCTAGCGCTCGACACGTATAGGGAGTATTCACTGGCGGCCATAGCTGTGTGCGCGAATGCTGAGCACGTGCTGATGGTGAGCTTCCACAGTTCTTTTGCAACGTGCATTCCGTACCATCAAGAGTGCCGGTCTTAGTAGCCTATTGATGTGAGATCGTTCTGAGCATGCGCTCGAAACAGCACCCACAAATATGGCGTCCAGTGAATACTCCCTATAAATTCGGCTGCCTGCGGCCCGCGTCCCAACGAGTCGTGGGGCGCGTGCTTGAGACCCCTGCAATGGACGATCCGCAGGAACTAGACAGTGGTGGCAGATACCGTGCACGTGCGTAAAATAAAGATCATGAAAAATGGACAGAAAAAGAAGGTATCAATTATACAAAAGAACTAGACTGAAATGAGCGAAAATTTAAATGATTAAACGCGCGAAGGGTGCAGTATAGTTTCTTGTATGGGTGGTGTTCTTGTGTTTTATTTTGTCACTGAAGTGCTGACCGTTATGTTTGTCTTTTTCCTGTCACACGACTCTCAGATATCCGTTATAAACAGTGCTTTGTTGCAATCGTGCGATGCCCCTGAAAGTCAGGGTTGAAAACCTGTTATTGACATGTTTTAAGTGTTGTTGTTTTTTTTACACAAATGTCACACATTGAGATAAAGGGAATTCGTAACCTTGTTTCCAGGAAGAAGGCTGTATAAATAAAACTATTTATTAGTTACAAAAAAAAATCTACCGATTAGACGCTTGAAGCCACCATCAACAAAAGCACTCGGGAAGGGCACGATGATAATGATACAGTGCAGTGTGGACTAAACGGATTCTCCGTTTGTCGGAAATAAGACGCGCGCGAAAATGGAAATTGCACATTTTAAACAAGAACCAACTGCAATACGAGCACGACGAATGACACACATGATTTGTACAGAACTCCCGTGCTATCCCCTCTTACACAATTTGACAATGACTCCTTTTTCAGGGTTTATAACAACAGAAGGCACGACAAGCCTCAGCGGGTCTTGCGTTTGGTCACATTGAGCGACCTTGTATTTCCGAATGATTTTACAGATTGCCAGTTTCAGTTCCAGGATTGCGAATCTTTTTCCGATGCAAATTCTGGGACCCAACCCGAAGGGCGAATAAACTGAAGGATCGTACGCCTTATCGCCTTGGCTGAATCTCTCGGGAACGAATTTGAAGGGCTCGTGCCAGATGTCGGGGTCATGATGCATATGCCAAGTGGGTACGATGACATTCGCGCCGGCCGGAATGGAGTGTCCCATCACCGTCGTGTGCTCCCTACACAGTCGACTCACGAAGAGCACCACAGGCGGGTACAGTCGGAGTGTTTCACAAATGACCATGTCCAGATGTTTAAGCTGCTGAACACCGTCGTATGTCAACTCGGTAGCTCCTGGAAACGTTTCAGCGAGTTCACTGAATATCTTGTCTTGTTGTTCGGGGTACTTAGCGAGGATGTGGATGATAAAGGCCAGCGACGACGCCGTTGTGTCGAATCCGGCGACCAGAAATATGAAGCTGTTAGACAGAAGGTGTCGATCCTCCATAAGCTTGGACTTATGATCCGCTTTTGCCATTTCGTCACCCGCGCCTCTTTGAGCGTCGAGCATCAGCTGTAACATATCTGTGGCGTGGGGGCTTTGTCCACTTCGGCGAAACTCGACAACTTTGCGGACACTTTCTGTGATCTGTGTGGTTATGTCGTAGTAGCCAGCGTAAGGATACAGCCACTCCAACACTTTTCGAAGGACAGGAAATCGAATCATATTGTTAATAACTGGGTGGTCTATGTTGAACACTTGCTGCACTCCTAACAAAATTGGGTCGGTAGGATTCTTCTGGCAATCCACCTGCGGATGCGATAAAAAAGGAAATACAATGATTGTAAAATTGGGGAATAGACCGATTTCACTAAATGTTGGGCGCATGCGTGAAGCCGTCATAACATGAGTTCAGAGGAGGCAGGCGCCAGTGCCCGAAACGGCCCGTGCCGCTTCGGGCTCTGCGCGCACAGAGCTCCAGCAAGTTGATGCACGTGCAAAAAGACTAAAGTTCCCTCGATGCATCGCGGCAGCGATGGCGTAACCAAACTCGCTAATAAGATCAGTCTAGGGTGCCTTTATGTGCGCTCTGCTTGGGGTGATGACATCTGGCCATTTTGTTTCGAACGCTTTTTTTTTTTCTGAAGCGCGTGAAAGAGCGTGTCTCTGCACGCGTTCGTGGCGCTGACTGTGCTAAAGCGACATTTTGTTTCCTGCGATTTCTTTGTGTTTTCCCTGTGAGCACGTGTTGTCGGCATCGGGTACTACAAACGATGGCATCACCCTAAACAGAAGGACATTAAGGCACTCTAGATCAGTCTATTTAGCATTCACACTATTTTCTGTTATCAACCTGCTGTTTTTGTGGCTGACAAAAAAAAAACAAAAAAAACAAGCACTGAATAAGCAGTCAGACATGAGGTCGAATAACCGTTCACTATTACCTCCAACAGCTCAAAAAGAGTAAGTCACGGTCATCGCGCATTACCTCATTAACTCTGGGAAGCTACTGAGATCGACGCGTGACTCGGTGAGAACCATCAATAACCGAAATTGAAGCGACGAGCTCCTCCATCATAATTATACATCAGGTTCTTAAAGCGGTATTCGCAAGAGTGAGAAATTCCGGGGATTTCTCTCCCGAGCTCGCATCACGCGACGAAGATGTCAGGTTTTTGCAGTGCGGCGCAGTGACGTCGCCTCTCTTGCTAAGACTGGGTTGTTCGGACAGTACACGAAATCTCGGTTTAATAAAAGTACCTTGTTGCTTTTAGTTATATTTTCTCGTCAAACGCTTTGGTGTCATGTAGACCTATACATTCGTCTGCGGCAGTGTCAAAAATGAAAACTGCTAAATTGCACCCCAAACTTTCTGTCGACTTCATGCACATCTCTCCGCGGGTTTCTGCTCCATATGAATACAGTTCTAAGAAGCGCTGCAACGATTTTTCTACTAGTGGTGAATCCTCTTTAGAATTAACTCTTGGCACTCAAAATTTACAAAACACGCGTAAGCCTTTCTCTCTACACAATCGTAGTCGCAAAAAATATAAGAGCGCAGCTTTCACGGCCCCAACTCACAGCCACAACGTGATATTGGGTTGATTTTATGCCGCCGATGTTGTTCATAGGCTACGTCTATAATGAATGCAATCGTAGTGCTTCGAATCGCTCAGGTACCAATCGCACGCAGCCTGTCTTCCTATTTCTTCCTCTTCTACCCAGCTGCTGTCAATCAAAATAATGGTATCTCGGTTCGCTGCGATATGGTCGCATCCTTGTAAATGCAACCATAGCCCCGCGCTGCGGATGGCAAAGTACTGGGCACACACGGTGTTACAGACATTGCTAAGGCTCGGCTATTCCCGTCTATGGCTGGGTTTACATGAATCCGATAGTAGTGCTTTGGATCAAGCAGAGACATATCACACGCACCCTGTCTTCCTACTTCTTCCTTTTCTAGACATATACTGCCAATCAGAATAGTCGAATCTCGATTCCATACGCTATAGGGTCGCATCCATGTAAACGCAACCATTGCAGCATTTGAACTCTTGTTCCTAATGTCATCACGGCGACCCTTGTGCTATTTCATTAAATTTTGCAAAATAGAAAGTGAAAAAAAAAAGTTTACTTTTATCCGTGAGAGAACACCGCGACAAAACAAGCTACTTAGTCAGTGGCCTTTCGAACAAGTATATGCCTGCGTCTAACCAATGCCAATAAACTTGCACAAGTAAAAAAAAAAAAAAACACCCAATATTGTTGCACTGTCCTCGAAACTGCGGGCTAATATGGTGGCGTCTTGTGAATCTGCTGGTTGTCGTTTTTAATTTTATTCAAATACATTTGAAGGGCTGGTACATCTCTTGTTTAGTGCATAAAATTCTTATTTTTCATATGCGAAATTTACAAGTCTGAAATTTATCTCCTATACTGCTAAAAAGGTTTCCTCATTGTTGAGTTGTATTGTGACTGGTGGGATGCTACCCGGAATAAACGCGAATTTTATTTATTGCGACACGGAGGCATTGGTCATATGTTGTCCGTGTGACCTTGAATAATAGTGCCGAAAACTGGTTTCGTTACCTGCCAGGCGAAAGCACACTTGGTAATGACGTCCATGGAGTATCCTCTTGCCACCCGAAACATGTCCACGCTCTCTGCCTTGCTGGCAGCGTCGTCAAGGAGCTCTAACATCACGTCCGCAGAGCTGGCCATAATCTGCGTCATCAACTTCATCTTGGAACCCGTGAAGATGGGGTTCAGGACACTTCGAACCTTCTTCCATTCTTGACCTGGCCATCAAAGTACAAAGGATTGAGTCAGGAAAATAAAAGAAAGGAAATAATGACGGTAATGTTTGCTCAGATATCAAAAATATAGTTTCCCGATACCGTCTCTTCGTTGTACGCTCAGTTCCTGTATAATTAGATTTTTTGTAATTTGACAAAATAATGCACGTATTGATTGTTTTATATTATTTGGATTAAGGAGCAAGGCATACAGTCTGGCTAGTTGTTTCACTATTTAAAACGTAGGCTTTATATGGCTCTAATACAGACGAACAAAAAGCAAAAGTAACCATGTACCACACAAGGCGCTGTCCGAAGTGTATTGCGTTTACGATGAAAAGGCGATGGCATTGACGTAGAGGACGTCGTAATCAGTGTGTTCTGAAGATAGCGCCTTTTGTGAACACTCTATTCCTTGTGTCCTTCGTCTCTTTTAGAGTTTGTCTTTCTAGGAGTAGGCACTATTGCGTCACATAAAGCAACAGTTGAAGAATTAAGAAAAATAAATAGATGTAACCTTCAGAAGAGCGATTTTGATATTCATGTAAAGACCCATGCCGCACCTTAAAGCGTCTTTTTCTTCAATTGGTGTCATCTTGATAAAACAGCTCGGGGGGAATCTTGTATTTCGATTTCTTTCTTTGTTTTGAGAGAAAGAAATTGGCCCTTGGCATTTTTGGAGATTTTACAAAGGCGTTTTATTATATAAGTAACAATATACTATTAGAAAAGCTCGATCTTAACGGAATTTGAGGTAAAGAAACTTTTGTTGCTTAAATCATATTTTCACCGTAAAAAGTTTGTTTCTTTTAATGGTTTCGCGTCTACAACAACAACAATTATATTCGGTATACCATAAAAAAGCATCTTAATGCCGTTACTGCTTAATATATACATTAACGATATTGTAAACGCAAATCCACGGACTAAATCCGTAATATACGCGGATGACATGAGCCTCTTCTTTTATGACACGAGCCTCTTCTTTTCTGGCGAGACTGGCGACGAGCTTATCAGATGCGCGAACGTGACCCTAACAGCGTTGCCAACATGGTCCTCAGATAACGCGCCAAACATCAACGCGAGCAAGACGAAGACAATCATCTTTCGGCCTAAAACAAAAATGTTTCTAGATCTAAGACTGTTGTCTTAAATTCAAATGATATAGATATTCTAGACAATTTTAAGAATTTAGGCCTAATTTTCAGTCAGGACTTATCTTGGGAAAATTATGTAAGTTATTTACGCACTAGATTGTCAAAGGTCATTGGACTATAGTCTCTCGTAACCGTTCTATTCCATCCAGAAATGTTAAGCTTTTTTTACACAATACCTTATTTCTTTCTCACATAAATTATTGCCATCTTGTTTGGGGCACAACCACTCGCACAAATAAAAAAACACTCCTAATGCAAAAAAAAAAGAAAAAAAAATTGTGCGCTTCATTGAAATATTTTTTTTTTTGGGACTCTAGCTAGCGTCCAGGGTCTCTTTATAAAAAAAAAATAATATACCTCCTGTTTACAGCGTGTCCATGTATAGACTAGCGATCAGTTTCAAGTTAGAAAATAAAAGAAGTTGGGACAGCTCAGTAAAACTTGCACAGTAAAAAAAAACATAACAAAAAAAAAATGCAGCTTTTTACCCAGCTCGATCGGCGGAACATTGGACTGTTCCACTGTGTCACAACAACAATTCAATGCAATCACTTAAATACACACATCCTACTATAATGAACACCCTAATAAAAAAATAACATTAATATTATTTTTATTGCAATTTAAGAATTACGAACTGAACTATTGTTTGGCGAAAACGAATGAATCGATTTATGAGACCTGTTTGATATTTTGCTTTGTTATGTTGATTTTTTTCAATGTTTTACGCTATTGCTTTGTTTTTACTTCTGTATATACCACTACAAGAGAGACAGGGCTGTTCTTACAGCTTTTTACCTCGTTTCCTCCAGTTATGGATCAAAATGTAATATAAAGTTCCTTAATCAAATAAAAAATGGCGTTTTCTATTTTATTTTTAATTGGCGTTGATGAATGTGTGCTTGAGTCGTGACAGTTGAGTAACATATTTAACGCGGGCTCTACGTCCTTGCTCAAAGTTGAACCATTCCTTCTCCCGGAGTGTGTTCACTGGCTTCACATAGTTTCCAACATTTGGAAACTTGCGTGCATTCCGGATGCGATGCGAAAAAATAAAATGAAAAACAGAATCAGGTAAATGGTTTGTGGGAGGAGGTAACCATCATTGTTAAAACGGGAGCAACCTACGGGCACTATGATTTCTTGGTCACTCAGTGGGGCAGCTTTGTGTCCTGGAGAGATTCGAGAGATCTCCAGATTTGAAACCCTTCTACTCTTCTTTGATTTGTGCCGCCCGATCTAGTAATAAGACGTTACTTTAGGTATAAACAAAAGGACAGACATAACGACACCAAAGTCTAATTCTATGCGTGCTCACTTTCTCCTTAGTAAGAATAGTAAATAAAAACTTAAAAAAAAACCCACTAGCAACTTTACAGGAAAGGTAACACTGGCTGAACTCAGATCCTGGCAAGGGAAGTGTGAATTTGGTACGAACTTAATTGAGCTACGCAAACATGCCTGAGGCGAAAATATGAAAACACCAGTAAACAAAAATGGCAAAACATGAAAGAAGCTCGCTCTTAATATTATATTTGATGCGCAAATATTAACAAAAATGTGTATATTACGATTAGTTTCGCCATAGGTAAGAGCGTAGCCAAACCCTACGAGACACGGAAACACGGGCCAACGTGCCAAAAGTGCAAGGTCACGACCCACTCACTCAGCTTGACCTGTTTGTTTACCCGACGATAACAGGCAGAGAAGTATGACAAACACCGTGACGTCACATGTTTCTGCGCTTGGTATTCGGCCCCATCAACGCGCAGCCTCCCGGGCGCTCTGATGAAGGGTGAGAAACGGAGTACTGGAGCACGCTTACCTTCAAGTCCTATGATGCAGCTCTTAAAAGGTTCCACGTTTACCAGCTGTTGAGGTCTGTCACAGAAGATACTGGCACGCTTCAGGAAGATCTCTTTGATCAGGTCCACGTCCGTAATAACTATGTAGGGAATCTCGCCGACGTAGTAGCCGAACACCTTGCCGTACTGCTTGATCCAGCGCTCCATCACCTGTTCGTCAGTCACATTAATAAAAAAAAATGGATCTTGCTCTATTGATTTCTTACAACACCTGCATCGTTTAGAATTTGTTTTCAAGCTAGAGTACCCACTCTTGTTGTACCTAACAAAGCGTTCGAAAAATAATGGTATGCGGTGTTAATAATAATACCCGAATGCTACTCATTCGCGGTTTTGGATCGCAGGCTTTGTGCTTGCTACACGGGTGGTAAAGTTACCGCACACCCGGTGCTTCCCAGGTTCTTCGAGTTATCCTAAAATTTATTGATTTATGGGTTTCTGACGACGGTCAGCAAGTTTAGGACTGTCAGCCTATGTTTCTTTTTAACAAACTAAAAGTGACTGAGCAAGTTTTAGTTAATTATTTGAGTAATTAGTACGTTTATTGCAATTCATGACGTTCGACATGGCTGACAGTCGGTCCATAATTTTTGTTTTTCTTCAAACACTCTATTTTTAGTGGTGTTTGAAAGTCTTTGCAGAAAAAGCAGCCGGTATCCGTCACCTCTTGTCTGCGCTGGCACATCCTCGGTGCAATTGTTTGCGTACTACGACTCGTGCCACCACTTCCGATAAGTCCGGCATCGGCGGTCTCGGATGCTCGTATTATCGCGTACTCCAGCCAAGTTCCAGAGTGAGCGAGGCGCCAGCATCACCGGACTGTTACTACGACGGTGATAATCTTGTACTGTTCCTTCGGTCGTACTCTGATAAAAACACAATGCAAGAGTATATCGAAGAAACAGATGATAACTTATAATATCCTATAAAAACGAATCTGCGACTTATACTATATGCCGAATATAAATATTGTAACTAGTGAAATGCTTACGAAACAAGTCATGTAGAATGTTCTGTATTATTCTTTTTCATTTGGGCATCACGTTTGCGCATTAAGCTTACATCGAGCTATTTTATCATAAGAAAATTAATCTACGTTAAAAATGATTGCCCTAAAATGAACCGACGTGACACCCACCTGAACAGGATCCTTTTTCAGCTCTGTCCAGTTGCCTATGAGCAGCGACGGCTCGGGTCCCGGAATCCCGTATTTCCTGAGCAGGTCATGCTGGCGTCGCCGATGCAGCACCCATAAGCACACGGCGGTTGCTATGAGCACCAGGCCTCCGAGTCCCAACGTCGTCCAAAACGAGACATCCGTTGAAACCGTCGTCATAATACTTGGGATATCGAGCACACCACCCACGTATTCGCAGCACTGATCGCTTCGAGATTTCAGTTGCAAGAAGCCTTGACCTGGAGGTCTCGTCCACGGTACGTGCCTCCCGTGATTGTGGCCTCGAATGTACCGCGAGCCACTACGATTCTCGCAATCCAGGAAGCCCGTCCGAGGCGACCGAAGGCCGGCACCCGTTTGTGTTGGCTTTGAAAGCAGCTGCTGCGATACGGTTCCCATGACGACAAAGCCCGTTTATTTCAAGGCGACTGGGAAAGGAGGATCAGAAGTGAAAGTGAAGGCTGCGCCTGATTTCACACTAGATGTCGAGGTCGGGAGCCTGGCGGGTCGTTAAACTCATATTTACTTTTTTTACCTTTCAAGTTGTGATTTACAAAATTACTGCACTTTCTTTATTAACAATTCGTTGCGTAATGTTCGCCATTCCAGACCTCCGCTCGCCCTCTCGCGGACGAACGATGAACCAGAGGAGCGGGGACGGCGCCGGCGGCTCGGAGAAGGGTGGCAGGGGCTCTCGGCCTTGGTGCCTCGGTGCTGCGATTACTGCGTCGTTCCAGTCAGCGTTTTCGTACGTGAAGCAGTTCAACAAAAAAAGTGAGCGCGTTAATATCGACATTCTTGTCTTCCAGCACGCAACAGACGGAAGACAAGTATTGCACGAAAGGACCGCAATGTATGATTTCATTAGGAACTTTTCGTATATCGCATACGCTGCAGATTTCTGGTCTTGTGATCAGCAGCTCAATATGTGCTTGCCGTTACGGCAGACGCCCGCGCTAGTGGTGTAGAGCTCTAGCGTACGTTGTACGAAAGGTCTATTCTTTGCTCTAAGTAGGAGAAAACTGGTCGTCGGCACGTCGAGGAATAGACATCGGGAATGGCTTCGCGTTTTTGGGCCTTTACAAAGTACGTGACAATTTGCTCCAAGCACTTTCAAAAGAAAGAATTCGCGAACTTGCTTTCAGGTAATTACAAAGGCAAATAAAGAAATTCTCGAAGCATTTTAAGCCCGTCTGTGTTAGGCAGCCCTTCGTCACGAGAGCTTAGAACTGACAGTTTTGGAGAGGCGGGTCGCATCGTTATCAATATCACGTCACACAAACGTACGATACATTAAATGTATCGCTGCGATAAAGCAATAAATGAAACCACTAAACACGCCGATAGCGTTGATAGGCAAATTTAGCATAGCGTTACAAGAGGCTACCGCGATCACGGCAAGGCTTCTGGCGCGCGCTTAAAATTGTGCTTCAAAGACGCAAGGCGAGCTTCCGGTTGCAATGCTGCGTGCACCGCACGGTAGCCTGCGGTCACATTATCATATTACAAAGCTTGTCGTAACTTCGCATCAATAACCTCTGCGATGTTTAATCACGTGTTGCAAGGCACTAAAACCGCTACGGTGAGTGGCGAGCTCCGAGCCTATGACACGAGGACATGAATACATGTGAACGCTGTTTTCCAGGAGCATGACGGTCACCGTGCGCGGCTCGCTTTTTAGGGCACTGAAGCCGGGGTAACACTGCTTATACAGAAGACAAAAAACAGTCTGCATGCAGATTTGAACGCGAGTCACTAAGAGATCCGTGCTTCGAATGGCCCATGTCAAGAAGTTAAAGGAGAAAGCTTGGCAGGCGGCTTTCGAACCACAGGTATTGTGGAGACTCGTGCTTGCAGACTGTCTTCTGTATGACGTATGGGCAGTGTAACTCCGCTTAAAAATAATCTAAAAATATTTTTGAAAAAAGAAAAATAGTTTGAGGGGATTTTAAGAGTATTTTTACCACGTGAATTCAAATATCACGTCGTTTTTTGTTTTTTTTTATCAAGGTGTAACTAAACGTAAGAAAACGCGGGAAAATACGAAAACCCTTCGACCAGTCGCCGCGTCATACGCAAATCTTTCGGCCGCCAAGCGCGTGTCACTTGCGTAAACAGCGCGTGCCCTTGAAAGCTTGCAAGATATTAGGGAGTTTTAGAATAACGTACGCAATTTTAGCGCACGCAAGCGCTAATTTTAGCGCTTGCATTAGCGTACGCGACGCGAGAGAGTTTTAGAATAGCGTTTCTCCGCCGCGACGCAAAAGCCCAAACATCTGGCGCTTGCGAGGCCACCAAGATACAGTAAAATGTTTTGTTTCACACACGAAATGATGTAAATTTAAAAAAAAAAAAACTATTTTTTGGTCCAGAGTAGCATTTTAATTTGTTTAAACATGAGAACGCGACGCGAGCGGTTGACCGGTCGCGTCCGCTTGCGTCGCCTCGGCAAGAGAGGTCTCGTGTACTGACCTTCGCACATCGTTCCTTCGCCGTGAAATGTTCGCGCGTCGCAAGCATCAAGCTGCCGGTGATCGCTGCCAAACCGAGTACAATGTCGTCCCGTATTGAAAATTGCAGTCGCGAGGATGCCGCCGACGTCGCACTCACGACGCCGCCAAAGCAGCCGCCGACATAATCCTGGAAGCCGCCATTTTTTTTAACTGTGCTCGTCTTGGATTGAGCCAACTTCTCATCACGAATCCTCCTTGGAGAAGCGCAAAGATTCTTTGCGTACGCACGCTATTTCCGAAAAAAAGCGCGGGCTAAAATTGCGCACGCAAAGCGCAAAACCTGGTTTGCGTTCGGAGCATGCGCAGTGGCGACGACGCTATTCTTTGCGCACGCAAAGCTTTAGCGTGCGCTATTTTAAAACTCCCTATTAGCGATGTGCGCAGCCAAAAGCGTCGCTGTGGTCAGTCTGTCTATGCTAGATCGCAAACTCAACGATGAAGTTAACTCAATCGGTCGCTGATTGGCTGCCCTTTTGGTCACGTGATGTGACGTTGCGATTGAGTTTTTCCCTACGGATTCCGATGGAGTTCGAGCTATGCTGGTGAAATAATGAAGTTCGCGGTGACGTCAAAATGTCGTCACGATTGAGTTTGGCGATGGAGATAACTTTGTAGTAGTCGGGCAGCAAAAGTTGCCAAAGTCAATGAAGATGGCGACGTTCAAGCTCGCGGACGGGGCGGACCAAAGCGGACTATCGCTACGTTTTTATGTGTTCGCCGTTCAAGGTTCGCCAGGAACGTAATCGGGGAATACTGCCCGACACTCGCTGGTGCTGACATTTGCCGTGGAAGCTTTGCCGGCGTCGCGAGGGGCCCCATATGGTGACCGCCGAGCAGCAAGTGCTCTTTTTGAGCGTTGCTGGCGGCACAATTTGCTGCGACGAAGACGGCACCGTGTGTCGGTGTGCTGCGAGTCGCATTCTTTGGATGCTACAGAGGCGATAATCGATAACCCGGGGCTGAAGGTGGGTGGGCTTCGCGCGCCAAGTGAAGACGGAAAGACGACGACCAAGAAGTTCAGCGATACGAATTCAGTGGTGTTGGTAAGTGCTCGATACACATTTTCTCAATGGGCTTGCACGAGAGCTCTCGGTAGAAAACGGGTGCCTCGTTCACCGTGATGAGTGTCGTGTGAGATAGTCGCACGGATTCAAGCTTACTCGTGATTGCATGTGTATCATCCAAATGTCTCGGGCCTCAACATCCGGAAATTGTTCTGCTGCAGCACGTTGTGTACGTTTTCATTTTACGATTGCAGGTTCAAACTGGTACAGTATCTTGTTCTTTTGATTGTGTTGTCTGAAACGTTTCTGCTGCTTTTCTGCCACACCGGGTAGGGCGCCTCGTCAAGCTGCAAGCCATGCAGCTTGACGTTTGACATTATATGTCCCATCTCCCACCTTTGTATATAAAGAAAAATAAAGAGATTATTAACTCAATTGACACCTCTTTGCTCTGAAGGCATAATTTTGGGTATTGTGCAAGACAAGTGGAATATATTTTTGAAAACCGGAGACGACGGTCGAAGAAGGGGACAACACACAAAACGTCTCCTTCTGTTGTCCCCTTCTTCGTCCGTCGTCTCCGGTTTTCAAAAATGTGTAACATCAACCAGCTCGCCTGCCTACTTACTTTATCTTCAAGTGGAATATCTCCATTTTTTTTTCAACTTTTTTATTATTACATTTTCAGCCTTTATATACAAAGCTATGCAACTACTATCTCCAAGTAGAGGCTGCATTAGCATATAGAATTTCTATCTAGTCTTGATGTGCTTTTGGACAACTGAAAAGGTTATGAAACATTCATGTCAGATACCGCCTCATTGTTGTGTGCAGGTGACAGCGACAAAACCCTGAAGCCATGCTTGCACACCAATTCCTCGCAACCCCAATGGATGCTCTGCTGTTTTGACTCCAAGCTTAACAAAAAGCATTGCTTAGGATTCTGTCGTAGAGCAGTGAATAGGATGCTGAAAAGCAGGTTCCGGTGGTTGTAAAGGTGCTAGGCACAGTAACATCATTTGACTTTCTGCACAATGCGGGCTTGTATAGCTCTATTTTGGGGCCTCTCCCTTGAGCCCCAAGAGTCCGACCCCGAGGACGGTGTAAGCTTTGACAGCAGAGGACGCGCTGTGCAGTGCTGAAAATCTGAGAGGTGGCCACCTCTGCAAGTATGTGCTGCCTACCAGGGTCTCCCTGCTCAAACTTGAAGCCTGGCAGCTGTTGAGGTTACTACGAGCTTTGTCTCTCGTCACATCTGCGAAATATACTTGTGTGTATCCGCTTGCAATGTTTTGTCATACTTTGTAACTTGCCAAATCAAGTAGACACAGTAAGTCCCTTTGGCTGCAGAGTGGTCTACCTAAAAGACAGTTCAAGCAGAGTTTTGGTATGGCACCTAAAAATGGAAGTTTGTAATAAGTTGATGTTTCTGAAAAAGCTTTTTAACACAATGTTTTTGGCAGGGTAACCTTGCAAAAATGCAAACCGCATAAGCGAAACGTCGAGGCATTAGAATAGAGAATAAAAGAGGGCCTCCTCATGGGTGGCATCTTGTTTCCCATTGACTGCATAAGCATTCTGGCTCTAACAGTATATTGTTCCAAGCATAGAGGAAGAAAAGGTGAAGAATTAACTGTGGTTGCTGGTATCTGGACGATTGAACCTGCACCGCCGTGTCACCGTTAATTGTGAAATTTCTGGTGCCCTGTATATGAAATATACATCGACATCTGAAGTCGAGATACGAGTCCCGGCACATAAACAATTGCACCGAGATTTCCTGACCCAAAATTTGTATTCTATGTATGACAATTTTGTCGAGTGACCAAGCTAGTGCTGCAAACCTTTTTTCCATGCTATACTGAAATCATGACG